ATATTAATAGAAAGAAATTATCTTTCAACTCTTTACGTAATCAGTTTTTTTCCTTCTAAAATATATTGTATATTGAAGGCTTATCCATTCACAATGTAGTATGATAAATGTGTGACAACTAGTGTTCATGAGAAAATAAAAATCGTATTTGAGTTTCAATCACTAGTTAAAAAATAACATTGCTACCCCTGCACAATAGGGTAGTCGCAGCACTTAGTTATGCAGGGTCAAAATGAGTTTCAGTTCCGAGGAGGATTCTTGAGAACAAACAGTGAGTTAAGGACAATAATACTGGAAAAGCTTTCTGTGGTGCAACAGCACACATTTGCTTTGAAACAGAATATTGTGCTCTGAAGTAGAATATTTTCCTGCCAAGAAAATAATATTAGTAACTACATCTAATATTCCTAGTCTCAAACAGACCAAACAAATTCAGGATTGCATTTATCACTGACAGTCAAATTTTCATGTGAAGCATTTTTTATCTTTTGGATAAAATTTGACTTTTGTTTTTCCTGTTAATGCTAAGAAAGTATTAAGAGTGTTTTCAACATGAGGATAGCAAAGAGAAAAATATTTTCTTACAAGTAGGAGATTACAGGGAAATCAGAGGTATGAGAATATCTTACTAATTTAGAATTTGATGTTGTTATGTGAGGAATCCTGCCTTACTAAAGTAATCCTATTTAATTTTTTCACTGAAATGGTTGTTAAGCACTGGAACAGGCTGCCTAGGAATGTGGTGGAATCACAATCCCCAGATATGTTCAAATAACGTGGGTGTGTCAACTGAGGACATAGTTCAATGGGGAACATGGTGGTGGTGCTGGGTTGACATTGGACTTGATGATCTTAATGGTCATTCCAACCTTAATGATTCTGTGATTCTATAATTTACCTTCCGTCTTGAAAATTGTCTGCTTTTGCAAAGCCAAATATTACTATATCTCAGTAAACACTGCAGCAGGGGCCTATGAGTTTAAGTTCTCTCCTTAGCCTTTCAATCCATTTTGCCAACTTGCTTTCCAGACTTGGAAATGTGGGGTTTTTTGCCATGATTTGCTATATAATTAGGACCAGTGACAGATGTACTTGCTGCATACTCCAAATCAGCTAGTCAATTCCAGTTGATACATAATCCAAGAAAGGGTGGGAGGAAGGCAAGTACAGTAAACTCCCCAGACCTCCTCCTTGGCAGAGTTGATGTAGGAGGGATGTACAAGCATTCAGATGATTTTTTTCCATCCCAGTCTGTCATGTCTGGAGTTTCCTTAATGTAGCAGCATACTATGGCCCAGCAAGCCCTTTGATGTGTTATATATCACCTCTTCACAGCCAATTCCAGGCCAGTTTAGGAAAAAAAACCCCTTTTACTCAGATTAAATTAGATGTTTTATTTTTGTCCATCAAGGGTAACTCAGAAACAATGAAGACATTGTGTGAGGTGCCCTCGTGTTGCTAGAAGCACTGGGGTTTATTTCTACTATAAACAGATATTTCCCTTCCTTCATCAGGTCATGCACATGGAAGCAGACCTTTGCTGTTTCAGGCAGTGGCCAGCCTCCCAGTTGGTTTCAGGTTTCTGTGTATTTTTTTCCTTCCTATTACACTACAATTAACATTGTTGTTATCAATTACTTTTTACAAGATAAAATCCTTCAGCCCATTCTTCTGTGTATAATTTCTAAACCTCTGGATCTGGCATGGAAAGTAGAACTTTGCAGCCACAACCACTGATTTCAAGAGAAACCAAAAACTTTGCATCCAAAAAGTCATTTTGACCTTCTTTTTCTTCTGACTCAAAGCCTAGAATGATTTCTTTTTAGGAAGGAAATTCCTAGCTGTACACTGTACAATAGGTCTTTATGCCATTGCTTGCCACCACCTGACATAAACTATTTGTCAACAAATAAGAATTCAGCTGGGTTGTGGGGTTTTATGGTGGTCTGAAAATTACTACTTCCAGAAGCACCATAGTATGACCCATAGAGAGGGTGTTAAAAAATGTGCGCCAACCACAGAAAAGGCAAGGTTGGAAGAGACATTGAAAAATCATCTGGTCCAACCTTTAATGGGAAATGGAGCATAGATGAGAGTATTTAGATGACCTAAAACATCATAGAGACCTAAAGCATCTCTGTCCCAGAGGAGAGGCCTCTGACAAAGCCTTCCTGCAACTTTGTGTGGATTCTTGTCTGCCTCTTTACCTTTTGTTCTCTTGAATGGAACTGATTCATGTTCTTCTGTCATAGAAATTTTGACACTTCACCTCTCAGGCTGTGTACTGATCTCCAACCAGTGGGTGACAAATTCCTCTTCAAGTTCTTCTCTGTTTAGTCATCTGATGAATGTGTTTAACCAGAATTCAAGCAGAAATTACCCAATACCAGTCTGATTCTAGATAGTGGGGAAACACTCTGATTCCTCTAAGGTGACCTCAGGCTCTACAGATTCACTTCCTTAATGTCTACTTTTATTTCTCCTTCTCAGCCTTGACCATCAAACACCCTACCTCAAAGTGTAAAGAGGTAAAGTTGTAGGTGTGAAAAGGTCAAATATGAAAAATAATTCAATTTCATTTCAGCCTGGCACTAAGAGAACATGAAATTAAAAACAATGCTTTGCTAGATAAGGAAGAACTGATTGCATGTAGCAGGGCCCCAGTCCCTAACTATCAAATATTCTATCTGAACTCACATCATTTAGAACAGGAAACTCAGAAAAATCTGTTTCCTTCAGATCATGTTGATGTAATGGTATATAAAGTAATTAATATTCTGGATTTCAAACTGGCCTACTGGAATCCTTCAAGGGAAAATGAGACAAAAAAAGCAAACAAAACATTTCCTTTCTTTTCCAGAGAAAGATAAATAGGAACTGCTAAGCAAGCTCTGACTAGCTTTGAAATCTGTTATGAAATTGGATTGTATTATACCACCTAAAGAGTATGCCAGAGATATCAAATTGTTAAGAGTTGGTTGTTCCACTAAATAAACCTCTGTTTAGGAGGAAAAAAGTAACTGTTAAGGACCAGAAACTCTTTTAATCCAGAACTGAAATGAGGTTATCGGGCTACAAGCTGATGGTTTAAAAAAGACTAATCATTTTCTAGACATTAGAGGAAGCAAAGCAAATCATCTCTCAAAATATTTACTGCTTGAGCACTTAGTTAGGAAAAAACTCTGAGAGGCATACAATTTGCAGAAAAATAGTGGAACAGATTTCTGAATGGAGGAGACCAATTATTTCAGTATTGAATCCAATTTTAGCTTAACAAGCTAACAAATGTGCTTGAAATTTATTGCTCTTTCACCTGTCCTTTCCCTAATTTAATTAAGTAAGTGGAGAGAAAGAGCAAGAGAGAATGTGCTTTCTCTGTCCACACAGAGGTGGCTATCAATATGCAGCAGGCTGATGTCAATGGTACTTGTGACAAGTTCATTCAATTTGTTCCTTTTGTATGTCTACCAACCTCTGCTATCAGAGAAGATACAGGAGCCTGGTGGATTTTAAAGCTTTAACCAAATTTTAAAGTTTTAATCAAAACTGTGATGTAAGGCAAGAAGTTTACTATTTACCAGCTTCAAATTTTCTCCCTTTCTTTGGCCACCAAGTAAGAGGGTGGTGCAGGATGTAAAAAAATACACTCATCTCCACTGGATTTAATGAGTACAGTTTTAAAACTAATTTTATACAAATTTATCACTCAATTTCATTTTTTGATATGTGAGTAGAGTTATGAATCCAACAAGAGATATGCAAACCCCTCAAATGCTGCCAAAGAATACAAGTTATACAAGCGGGCATGTCACGGGCTGACTTAGTGACTCAAGTCTTGGCAGCTGCCCTATAAACAAAGCTACTGAATTGGTTTGAATCTGTCTAATCATAGAACTTTTTATGTAGCTCACTTTCAAAGATATGCTTTAATGAATTACTAGAGAGTGAAAATTTGATCAAAATGCATGAATTACTAATGAGTTGAAAAATTAGGGTTTAGAAATGCTATTATAATAGTTGTATTTCAGTCTCTGGGTTTTAATCAGACATGAATAACTGTGAAATCTGAAACACAGATTTGCAAATCAAAATGCATTTGCTTTCTGTATTACTGTAATTTGCATTTCTGCTTTGGGAGTCAGACTGCAGCTCCTGTGCCAAATACCACTGTCAAAGCTTCTGATCATCTACACAGCTGATTTTGAATGTCAGGCAAATATTGAGGATTCAGTAGTCTAAGTTACTTTACAGGTGATTAGAGGCCTGTTCATACCTTCTGAGTGCTTTACATATACAAAATCTACCAAAATACATGGAAAACAAAAGTAAAGTAAATAGAAACCAATAACAATGATTTTGCAGGTCAGATCTTTCCTCAAAGTTGTAATATTATAGAGTTAGCCTAGTTCCGAGACAGGATTATCATGCTGCTTATTAGCAGTTATTTGCATGTTTACAGAGATGTAAAATGTATTTGTACTCCAGAGTTCAATAGCAATGAATGTTAAGCATTAGTATTTGTTGAGGATACTGTTGCTAGCATAAAATTATCTGATTTTTGATAGCAAGCCCCCTTAAGAAAATCCCATTAAATATTAAAAATTTCAAATTATTACTATACTGTAATGCTACAGTGTTTATACATGGTTTTGTCTTAATCTGTACCTGTGACTGTAAAGTCTCATCTTGTGACAGCTCTTTCTCTCTTTTTTCATTTGTTCTGGAATGTTTTTTGACTTTCAGAACTGAGGACTTTCACCTCTGCCTGCAGAGGATTGGAAGAGTATTTGTGGTCAATTTGATTTGACATTAACATTTCATTTAGAAATTGAACAGTAACTCAGTTAATGCATATTTTCAAATACTGTTATCAAATCTACACAGTTTGTCACATGCTCTGGAGCAGCATTTACCATTAGTGCCCAAGTCCATGTAAGTTAACAATTTCTTCTGCACTGACTCCAGAATTAGGCAGCTCAGAAGCTGTGTTCCAATACGTTTGGATATGAATTTCAATTTTCTGAGGCCAAAAATGGCTTTTAACTGAATGTTTCTCAGAATATCCAAAAATTAAGGGAAGTTGGACGCAAAGAGCTAAAAAACTAAGACAGCTAATGCAGCTCAGATAAGGTGTCATCACAGGAAGATTAGACAAATTAAAAAAACTTCCTGCCTTCAGGACCTGTATGCAGGTAAAGCAGTTTCAGTGCTATATGCTGTGTCTTTATTTTTTGTCTTTAGCACAGAGACTTGAACGCAGATTCAGCTGACTTGTAGGCTGGTTTCAGTTTCACTGAAGCTGATGACATCTAAGCTTTTCCGTGAAGCTTAGCATGCATTTTCAAATACGTCTTTGCACGCAGATGTTTCCTCAAAATCATGAATGTTTCAGGGCTAAAGTTTCATTTAATTTGAGAACAAAAATGCTTTGTTCTAATTGTGGCACCGAGGCTTGAAATTTACAAAAATTAAGCACATATAGTATATTTAAATGACTATGATTTCTTTTCAAGCTGTTACTAATTGAAAACACTATTAACAAAGTCTAAGATGGTTTTGGTCCCTATGTTCGTTAAACAGATCTACCCCACAGACTTTTGTTGGCACCCTGTAGTATTTTTATTTATGCTACCAATGTGTTTTCCTGGTCAAAAGTTTTAAGAAACTCTCATTTTGAATTTCATTTCAGCGTGTAGAGTGATTGCTGAACCATTTTTCATCCTTAAGCTGTATAAATAATTATTTTTCCATGAAAAATTGAGGGAAATTTAATGGCCAATAGCAACCTTACTATTCATACCATTATTTATACAGACTTTGTCATCCATAGAAATGAACCTTACTCTTTCAACCACAGGGTTTGCACCATGTATGTGTCATAGACAAATATCTCTACTGTAAGATATGGCAACTTGTCTTCAGTTCAGTCGAGTAGCACAAGCTTTATACTTCATGGAAACGCCTTGTTCTATGTTTGGGGTGGTTTTTTTTGTGTAAGTGGTTTGTTTCTGTGGTTTTTTTGTGTTTTTTTGTTGTTTGTTTTTTGAATGGTTGACATTAAACAAAATGGGGAATGACAAGTAATAATGAGGCTACTCAGATGATATATTTGATAATTTTCCAAGGAATACAGTCTCAGAAGTGATCATGTTTTTTGTTTTGGCCACATTGTAGCACAGTTGTTCTTTTTAAGTAGAACCCACTGTTGTATTCGATGGACAGTTTTGTTCAATAAATGTAATGGCAATGTATGTTCTTTTATGCTTTTCCTTGTCATTATTATTTGGATGGGTAGCTATCAAAGAAAAGTTGGGTTTTCTTTGAGTTTTGGGGCTATTCTTTAACTTTGTTTTCCCCTTCTACAAGTAAAAATTAATAATGCTTGTGGTTTAAACAAGAGGAGGAAAACGTATATGAAAAAAAGTAAATTTGTCCTGCCACAGAGATGGACTAAATGATCTTAAATGTCTTTCTAAACCTTAGTGATTCTATGATTCTAAAGGCTCTGTCATGAAATATCTGGGAAGTGTCCAGTGTATATCATCGCAAACATTTCCGTGATTGTGATTACCTTTGATAATATATAAAATAATATAAAAGAAATTATAACAGATATGACAATAGCTTGATAATCAGATATGACAAATAGCAGATGGAATTTAAGGGATAAATAATATGTCAAAGATTATACATCAGCTAATTTATGAGTGTTTAAATTAAAGAGTAAATATAATTTTGGTGTATTTCAGAAACTGAGAAGAAAAATGAAATTGCAAATTAGACTAGATAAAACCTGCTGGTTTATATAGATTTAAGCATATTCCGTGAACCTCAGATACCAGATTTGGGAGATAAACTGAGAAATAATGCTTTACAACTTTTGTAAAAGTTATTATCTTCAGGAACATGCATAGATAATGAATACTGCTCTAGAACAAATGATAATTTTTATTGTATGTGTGGTCTGTGAGTGTGTGGATATATAGATATATATATGTGAAGATATGTGTGTTATGTGAGTATATATATAGATGGACAGGTAAAAGAATGCTATCTCATTTTCTCTAGACTTATATTAATGCATGCCAATTATAGTAACTCACTTAAATCAAGACAACAGCAACAGTTTTGGTAAGTGTCAGCTAATTTGTAAGCATTGCTGAGGGCAGTGTATTTACAAATGCAGAGAAGGATAAAAGCTCCATAAAAGAACACTATATCTTTTTGAAGTGAAATTGCCAGAAGGATTCTGTACAAGGAAGCTGATTCACTTTTGTAAGAACTGTTCCAGAATAAGTAGCAGAGAATCCAGTATTCTCTGCCCATCTCTGGGTCTTTCTTGAGAACTACACTGTTCATGTGTATTTGAAGTTAACTGCTTGTAGTGTTAATTGCAGAAAGAAGTCTTCAAGGTCAAATACTGTACAAGATTCTGAAGTGTTACTCATTTATGTAAATAGGAATGGCTAGATGAGCTAAAATAAAACTATTTTTTCTGAGAAGTTTTACATTCCTATGTTCCAAACAAGTCTGTATTTTCTCTTCTCCTCTGTAGGTTTTGTTTACAGCTGTGAGAAAGTGCACTGAAAGTTGTCTGTGTGTTTTCTTTCTTTTCCCTGAAAGCAAGCAGAAGTGTGCTTTTCTCATGTCCTATAGTGAAGAATTCAAAGCTGTGTAACTGAGAACCTATTTCCTGTTCTTCTTTCTTGACTTTCTCAAGATTGCAGCTGCTGAGGAAAGGTCTCATTGCAGAGACAGAAAATGCTACTGAGATACCTTGAGCCATTTCTGTGGCATGGAGCATCATGAGAACTAATAAACTGTCCTTACAGTTTGTCTGAAATCAGTGATGTCTTATGTGAATATTTCCTCAGTGACTGATGAAGAGGCGCAGCTGTGTTTTGGTGTAGCTGGAGTGTAGTTCACTGCTGAAATGTTTGTGTTTAAGGTAGTCCAGGGGAAAGATGCAGTGAAGTTGCCAAGGTGACAGAAAAGGGAATAGATAGATCTTTTGCATTCTTCTTGGATGTCACTACAATAAATCTCTGCTTCATGATGCTAAATCTAGAGCCTTCAACCATCCAGAATTCCTGTGACCAGATAATCATCAAATCCTGTGTAGCTTCTTTTCTGTGTGAAAGCAGGAGGGCTAGGAACCCTCTGATGAAAGTGAAAACTGAAAAAGTTCAATTCTTGTAGCAAGAAATCAACTCCATCTTTGCAGTAGTAATAATCTCTGTAAGGTTTGCCAGCAGATGCCAGCAGTGAATTAGGACTTGTGAATAATAAAAGGAGCTGTATATATAACTGTCACAAATGCTTCACTGCTGAAAGAATGATTGCTTGAAATACATTGATTTTTTTTCAATAAGGTTAATTTTTATTGTGAAGATCCTGATTTTATCCTCTGAGTCCCTGCAAATAGCATGTTAGGCTGTCTCTATACAAATCAAAAAAATATTCAGGTTTAAATTTCGGCCACAGTTCATAGTAATGGTTTTCCACTTAAACAGTGGGGTTAAGTTACTTATTTTAAAGATGTTTCAGGTTTAGCATCTTTTCATCTTATATATTTTTACCTGACCCATTCTCTTTCTGTTTATTGTCCCCTTCAGAGTAAGAACAAACTCTTATTGTTTCCTGTCCCTCTCAGTTTGAATTTAAAATTCGACCTGACATTAAGCTGTTCCTTTCTGTACTGGAAGGGGGAAAAAAAATCCAAGTCATATGGTACTATTCTTCCCTTTCATTGAACTGTCTGGATTCAACTCCAGAATGGAGCTGAAAACTGTCAGTGTCTCAACACAAAGCAAATAGACTTAGCTGAAAGGGAAGTTCAAACTGGAGCATCGTCGTGTAGAAATTCTGGAACAGTTCAACACTGGAGGAAGGAAATCATTGTCTGTCAGAGGAGTCCCATCCTGCCCAAAAGCCATAGCATTAAGTGTCTAATGCTGTTCCTTTGAAGATAAGTCTCATATTCAAGATTTCAGAGTAAACCAGATTTTGAGTTTTTTAAAGTTTACTTTTGGTTTACTGTTTGCAAAGCTTATGTCACAAACAAGAGGAAAGGGTCTAGGCTCTCATACCAGGACTTCCTTAATTTAAAGAAACTAAAAGAAATTGTTACTGCATTGCTCACTCCCTCAATAATAAAATTAATACACATATGATTATATAATACTCATAATACAAATTAATTCCGTGTCCTTCTGAAGTCTACATAATGTAATTTATTATCCACATATCCTTTAACCTTAAAAAAAATCTTAGTTGAAACTGTAAGAACCCACTGAAAAGTAAACTCCTGTCACACGGGATTGAGTATTCATTCCAAATAATGATCATTATATGAGTTTAGAATATTACTTGTTATTTTATGTTCTTGGCAATTATTGTATCTCATTTAAAATATTTATTTTTCCTTTTGGCTGTGTTTTCCCTTCAAAACTGGAACAGTTGTTTTAAAAATTATGGTCTCCCAGGCAAAATAAATTAAGTCTTGGAATTATGTCAAAACTTTTAACTGAAGATGAAGTTTAAAAACAATCTTTGTGCAAAAATGAAACTCACTTTCTCCCTTTAACTCATCCTTCTACCTACTGCTTCTCTGGGTGTTTCTCTCTGTAAATCAAACATATGCTCCTTTTCTTTCTTACTGGAAGACTTCCAAAGGTTGGGGGGAAGTCTTACAGGAAACCCTTCCAAAACATATGTAGGACTTGTTCTTCCTGTGCAGATAAAACCCTCAGATGTGTTTAAATGCAGACTAACTGAAACTGCAAAGCTGTAATATTTGGTTTGGGGCACTTTTTAATTAAAAGTTTGAAATTTGATGGCTAGTTTTCCCTATTATAATTTGCATCAAGGGTTTTGCTTCATTGTATGTGTTTCTTTCAGTGAGTTCCAGATGTGCTAAAAATTTGAGATTTATTTTAGTTTAAATGTTTGTTTGATCAAATGAGCATGTATTGCATTCTGAGACTTCCTTATCAGATTATCAGATGGAAATCAGTGCAGCATGTGCCTTTCATGAGTTTTCTGTATGGCTTTGATTTGAGAACATCTGTCTTTTGAGCTGCAAAATTAAACCAGAAGAAAAGACCCATACATACAAAAACGTTGTGACTTAAATTGTTTTCCAGATATAGGCTTAGATTTTCCAGGTGTCCTGGAGTCAAACTGTATATTTTATGAATCTAATTTTTTCTCTTGTGACTATTGATATACCACATAAATGGAATCCACTCTTAGAATACTGATGACTCATAGAATTTGAATTTTGTACAAGTGCATTGTCACAAGTTAATTGTGCAATGTCTAAAGTAACTAGCTCTAATTAATTTTACATTTCTTTCTGCTTTTTTCTTCTCCCAGGGAGCATACATTGGACATCTAGCCTCTTATTATTAACATTCTTAAATTATGTATACTTTCACAGATCTCTTGGGAAAGTCAACCCACGCTGTTTAACAGATATTTCTTTTGGGACAGCAAGGAGCAGAGATGAACAAAAGCAATCAAGACAGCAATATATCATCAACAATATTCCCATCATTATTTGAAGTATGTTACTAAGAGAAGGTGCTGAGTTACTCTCTTGGCATGGTGTTTGCTCATTACATGTTTTGCATATAGTATCATTATTATTAAGCCTTTGCTTGTTTATAAAATATGTTGAAATACTGCTTAACAAGGAGACATAGAGAGGTAGATAATTATCAACATTAGGGCCTAACTAACACATGCTGAGTTCAAGTTTACATCACCGACACTAGTCTGCCCCATATTAGAAATGCTCTCATTTTATTGAGACAAAAGTAGAAATTAATACTATCAAATCAGATAGTAGTTGTCCGTCCAGATGGATATATAGATGCTGGCAGGGGTGTTAAAGGTGTGGCTAGCATCACGTGTGCATTCAAAATGGGCTTTAAAACTAGTTTTAACATAGCCAAAAAACTAGGAGAATGATGAGTAATTCAAAGTCTGAGTGTCTGTTTCTTTTCTTCCTCCCACCAGCTTCACAGAAGGTAAATGCTAGTATTTCCACTCTTTCAGATACATCGCTGAAAAAAAGATCTGTGAAATTAAAGTCCTAAGAAGGGTAAATGTTAACTTTTCCCAGCTTTCTCAGGAGCTATTAAATCTTTGTAGGTCATCACCTAATTAAATGAACATGTAAAAAATTATTTTTGTCAGGCATGTAACCCAGAGAGTACCTAGCTTTGTTGGATAAATGTAGCTGGGGATTGACTTGGATTCAGAAGATAAGGTAGTGCTCAGGAGGTAGGAAGGTCAATTTTTATTTTCATTGCCACTATATGACATGCTACGTCTGAGAATTGTTAAACCAAAATAGACACATATAAAACATGAAAAAGACACAGATTATTCAGGATTGAATTAATATTTAATCAATCAGGCAAGAAATTAGATTTAACCATTTGTAAAATAAGATCTAATGAGTAAGCAGACACTTCAATCAATGCCAAAGTATTAACCCTTCTGTACAGAGAGAGAAAATTCACACACACACACACACACATATATATATAAAAGAAAACAAAAATATTTCTAGACTATTTTATAAATAGCTAAAATCTAAGAAGATAAAAATCTGTACTTTCTTATACGATACGGAACATACTAATATATATGTGCATATATACATAATGAATTTGAATTTCGAACATACTTATATAGATGCATATATATATAAGGAATTTGAATTTTGCCTCTTGCTCTATTCAATTTTCATAAGAAAAAGTAAATTCTTGACTCCTTACAGAGCTTGTGGGCTAGATCCCTGGACTGAATTTCTAGTCTGAAGAATTCAAGGTGTAAGTAGGCACAGCAGTGAAAAGAATTTAAAGAAAGTAAGTCAGGTCCACCAAAATTCACTTGGAATATGTAGATCAGAACTACCAGAATGAAAAAAGTGGCCCGTCTTACTAAACAATAGTTTCAGATCAGTGTATTTATTATACTAAATAAATATTCTTCTTAGTGTTTATATAATCAGAGTAGGGTGGTAACATCTTCCCACACCAGTTTTTCTTGCCCATTTCTTTGTTACTGGGATGCAAATGTTTGAACGCTGTCACTGCTCTAGATACAACACTAACCTTTTTCCCCCAAATTACTCTTTTCAAAACTTTTTTATTTAAGAAAGGCCAAGAGTAATTAGCAAAAAACAATTATTTATCTCTTTGATGATGTAAAAGGTGTTTGGCTGTATTGCTGAAAATGAATCCCTTGGGATGCTGTAATCTTCATTACTTCTCCATTTAGAGTATCATCTTCAATTATTGTTATCAGTCCCTCAGCAATTATTGATGGGCTGAAAAAAAAAAAGTTATTTCAGATTCACGATATAATAAAACACGTAAAAAAGGACAAGTAAAGAAACTCAATGTAAATCTATATAATCTGAAAATTGAACAAATTTTTGTTTGAGCAAATTTACTTTGAAGAAAAGCAGAGGTGGTATAAGTGTTTCAGGAGAGATATTTGGTCTCCTCAGTCAGGACATACATGCAAAGTGGCTGCTTTACAAATCATCATTTGTTTGCTCTAGTTTCTGATAAATGCCCGTGAACATACAAATGCTACCAGACTGCCTATTGAAGTTTTCTCTATCAGGAAAATGGACAGAAGTAATCCTTACATAATCCTCTGCAGCTCTGCTGCTGATTTATCCTGTTTCTGTAGGAGGACTGATATACAAATTAGCATAAGGATAATTTCCTGTTCAGTTTGTTGGGGTCAATAGGTGCAGTGTATTTTACACATGGAAAAATATGGGTGAAACAACACAGTCATACCACTTCCTTTGTGCAGAAGCATCTGAGCAGCCAATTGTTAGAAACTAAGAAAGTGTTTAAAAAAATACCACTTTATGCTTGTCTTGTTCTCACAGGCTGTCCGAGATTTCTGCTTCTGGCCTTTGTTGGCAGTACTGTAATGCGTCAGTTAACTTTTTGATCTGATGCGCAGTGGCTGCTATTGTGCTCTTATGAACATAGTCCAGTTTTTTCAGTTCTTGGTCTGATTTCTATCTTGTTTCACTGGCAAATTTTGTCAAAATTCAATGCAAATTATATACCTTGTATCTCACAAGAAGTTTGGTTAAACAAAATTATGAGGGAACACGTAGGTCTATTAAAAACTAAACACAATATATTTAACTTAGGAATTTGATTTTCCCTTTGCTGAGAATTGGGAAACGTATAGGGATATATTACTGTGCAGGTGGCGCTGTTAAAATAGCCTTAGATATCTTCCTTTTTTTCGTTGTTCATAGGAAAACACATTTGATAGTCTTTTATCTGAGGCAGCATTTCCCTTTTATTTTAATTTTTCTGAAAGTGCTATTTGTGCCTTTGTTCTTCATGAGAAAAGGGAAAAAACCCACTGTATCTGACTTTACTTACTCCATCACGCCATAAAACTGCATCATATTTTTTATCTCATCCTTATATGAATAATATTGTCCCATATTCTCTTCTTTATCTATTGATTGAAGAATTGGTGTGTTGACAAATCCTGGACAAATTGTGTTGAGTCTCACACCGTAGTTGTCCATAGTAGCAGCTAACTAGAAAAGAGAAAGGGTTAGACATTTATTATCAACTTTATGAGACAGTATTGTGTAAATTTTCAGATAATGAGATTTAACACTAAGTGCTTGTCAGCCTTGCTTAGCAAGTAGATTTTGTTACAAACTAAGTTTGAATAACTTTCCTGTAGTAATTATACTACAGGAAAAAAACTGTTTTGTTGGGAGAACAATTCTACAAGAAATCAACACTCTTATTTCCATGAAGCTGTTTTTTTCTAATATTTTTTGTAATTAGTGACATCCTAGCATGTCATTAACAGTATTCTAGGGTGATGATATAACTCTTCAAAACAAAACCAAGAAAAAAATCTCCCAAATGTATACTTCTAATCTTATATGAACTTTTTTATTAAAAGAAAACTCTGAAAAAAACCCCACCAAAACAACTCTAAGATTATATTTAACTTCCTACATCAACAGAAATAGGATCTAGTCTCTTCGCCTAGAACTGTAATACTAAACCTTTCTAGTTACCCTGTTGTCCCTGCCAATGTATGAAGCTATCACTGAGCATCTCTACAGGAAAGTCCCTGTGAACTCCAGGAAAGAGGCACTATTTTCTTCAGGAAGTAGTTCAGGAACATGATGAAAGCAAAACGCACAAGCTGTTCTGTGCCCTCATTTGTGGTTCTACCAATGTGTGTATGTAGCAGAGAAGTCTGATCAGCATTCAGGCATGTGTTGAATGCTGGATGAACTGTCTTAGCACAGAATTTATGAACTATACATGACATACTCAAGAATAACCATAAATGTTAAGGCTACATTCTATTTATTTTAACGTTTGACAGGAATTCTTTCGGGTATTATGTAAGTCTCATGTCATTTTCATGGTAGTCTGCCCCTTTGGTCTGGGGGAGAAAAGAAAGTGAAGTCCTAGATGTTAGGTATTAGACCAGCCCAACATTAGGCTGTATTGCCTTCCCTGGTAAATACTGTAGTTCACTAAGTTTATTATTCCTTTTCTTCTCGACATTCTCATGTTTCTTAAAGACAGTGTTTCCTCTAATTTATTTTTGCACTTAGATGGTGTAATTTATATTTATAATGAGAAAACAAAAATGCAAGCTTAGATGTCAAGTTCATGATGTGCCTAATGTGGTATATGAAGCACTTATCCATACTATTCCCTTAAGGTTAATCAGAAATAAAAGATATTTGTGTGGGAATGGGGGTATAAAATATGGATAAAGTATCCAAAGTGTTATTTTAGGTGAATAATTCTGGAAATCAGGTTGGAAATCTTCTCTGAGTAGATTACCTTTAATCTATTGAAAGTAACCATATCTTCTTCCTCCAAGTTATTTTATTACACTGCTTGTTCAATTTAACTAGAAAGTTTTGGAGTCAGAGCTTGAGACCTACTATCTGGTCATCTTACATGTCCCATCTTGAATGTGTCATTTTGCATTTTTTTAGTATTGAGACTTAGTAAGAATAAATAATGGTGTGTCCAAGTCACTTTTGTACACTTCAGTGCCTAGTTATCATAAAAAAACCCTGACTGACAAATAAGGAAATCAAAATGTTAAGTGACTGGGACGGGGTTCTGAAAAAATTTTTAAAGCTTGGATTAGAATTTGCTTTTTGGACTCCTCCCACTGTCCTTAAATTACTTTGCAACTTCTTTCTTCCATGCTCCCAAAACCTCAAGTAAGTCATAAACACACAGATGCCATACTTATTCCATCTTTGGATTCACTTTGTAAAAGGAGGGAACCTCCACTGCTTCAGACACTTTGTTTCCTTTCAGAAAATTAACTCCAGTTGTGTGGCTATAGAGAAGGAACGCGAAAAACTTCAGCATATTCTGAAGGAGCTGCTGGTACTCTTGTAAAAAACACATACTTACTGCTATTGATCGTGTGAATCCAATTACACCATGCTTTGTAGCACAGTACACAGGTTGAAATGCAGCAGGCATGAGTCCTTTAAAATAAAAAGGTAGCTGAATAAAGATGTTGAGTACTCCTATTTATGATTACCTTAAACACACATATGGGTATATAAGGTAAAAATACTATGATGTATTTATAGAGATACAACAAAATAGAGAAGTAAAAATGTGCAGATTATGTTTTATAATCTCAGACAGGCTGAGAAAAGATATTAGATGGATAAAAACAGAGTCAAAAGAAGAGTAATAAAAGAAAGTGTAACTTTTAAGAGGAAAAGTTGTATCTATGAAGTATGACTTAGAAGAGAGGACAGAATCTGGAAGAAAACACTGAAGAATGAGATTTTTATGTCATCTTCTATGAATTAATGAAGTATATAGTTATATAAAGGATGTCAAGTATTTTAGATAAGCTTTAATTTCTAACATCCTAGCTGACATGTGAACTGGACACCTGCATTAATTTACTGTGACTTCAGAGAGGAAGTGTGGGAAAAGGAGAAGCAAAATAAAGAATGACTGCGAACATTGTGAACCTTGATGGTGAGAGGGGAAGAGCACAAAATTTTTTTTTACAGTAGAGAAAGAAGAGAGAATAGAGGTTTTGAAGGAAAATTAAGAGCTTAGTTATAGTAAGACTGAGTTTGATGGCCAAAGAAGTTAATCAAGAAGAAATGACAAACCATGAGTGCATATTCATTCCTGCCCATTATGTTAACAATTTTCACTATACAATGAAAGCTGAACTGGACCATATGGATGCTGTAGTTTCACCTGAAAGCTAGACCCTTACAAATAGCAAACCTCAGCTTTTCCTAAAGTTAGAGGATAAAATTAGTCTGTGTTCCTTAATGTGGTATTGTAAAATTGGGAAGTGATTCTGATGCCTTAGTGTTTGATTCTAACAGAAGTTATCCCAATTAATAATTCAAATTACTTTCATTTTTCGTATTTCATACCTTTAAGTGATACATTCAAGAAGGGGTAGGACTTATCTCAGTGGAGATGAGGAATTCACAACCCAGCTTTTAGTATGGATTTGCCAGAAAAAAATATGTTTGCCAGAGACTTGCATGGGCTCTTTGCTCTGGAATCTGTTTCGTCTAAAGGAAAAAACTTTCTAAGACAGCACAAAGCTCTAATTACAAACCTGAAAGCTTCAAGGTTTTATATTGATTTATACACTACCTTGGTGATCCAGTGAAACCAAGACTGTTATTAGCACTGTTCAGTAGTGGACAGTGAAGAACTAAACCTGGTGGCTGGTTGTTCTCTTTAACTGGTATTTATTTGCTTAGTTTACATTAATGTGTTAAACTTCTGCTTGAGAACTCACTTTATGAAAATGGCCTTTGTGTTGTCTCCCGTGAGTTGTGATCACAACACAGGCTTATTATTCCTCTTTTTGTTGCATTTTGATGATCATCACCATTCTTCAAATTATTGGAAACATTGGAATAGTAGTACATTAGAAATATTATGACATTATTTTTAAAAAAAACTCTTAAGTAGTTTTACATGCTTTAGATAACAAAAAAATCCACTTAGGCTGCAGGAAAAAGAAATAAAACTGACACAGTTTAGTAAAAGACAGAGAGGAGGAATTTATAGGTAATTTTATTTTTATTTTTTTTAAGCACAGTGAGACAAATTACTTTTTACTTGAGAGGGAAGAGAAACAAAGTCAAGAAATAAACAAAGGAAGGGCACAGCTCACAATAATGAAGTGGAATAAGGTTCAAAGACTTACTTAAATGGCAAAGACAGCAGGAATAACTAAGCAGAAAGGGAGGAACAAATAATTTTTTAAAAAAAAAATCCAGTTCTTTTCTAATTGAAATTATTTTTACTGAAGTGGAGAACCAAGAAAAAAATCAATTGACTCATTTTCAACGCAAGCAGCTAAGACTAGTCCCTCATGAAAAACAATGACATCCCTGTCTTACTTTTCTTCTTGAGTTTTGTACTGAGAACCACAGTGTGGGCTTTGCAGTTCTGAGCCACTTCTCTGCACTGGGAAGGGCTGAACCTGTTAGTGATGTGTCCTATGGAAACTCCTAGCAAGTATTATGTGATGAACCACTGTGTAATACTGAGCCTGCTCTGCCTGAATTTTTATTCAACCAGTGAGCAAAGATGAGTTCATAACATATTACTTAGGGCATTCTTTTGTTAGAAAATCTGGATTGCATTTGCTCCTTCCATGAATATTTAATTATCTTATGCAACTGCAGTATGACTGTGACACAGACTGGAGAACATTATGTACAAAATAGCAGGGGAGGAAGGGGAGGATGTTCAAATGGATGGGTCAGTGTACTTCTGGAAAGTGATATATGTGTGTTTTAATCTTTCTTAACAAGGGGGAGAAGCTATGGCTACATTTGGCTTTCCCTGATTGTTGCTGCACAGTGAATTGCAAATGATGTTATGTTGACTCAAGATGCTCTTTGGTTTACCAAAACCAGTTCAAACAGCCCAACAGTAATCCTGTGTTCCAGTGTTAACTGTTGGAACAGTTTAATTTTTCTCAGTTTCTGGCAGGCTGGCAGAGACAGCTCTTGCCCTTACTTATAGTCTAGTCCCCTTGTCGTTAGAGTGGCAAGATCATTCTACCACTGGAGACATCGTGTCAGGCTTCTCATTCCAGTGCCTTATTTATCATGGCCAATAGTTTCAATATCTACATCTTGAGAAACTAGTACTGCAGGTGGAAAATTTTGTCAATAAGCTTGTATTGTTATCAGTAAGCTTTGTTGAAACCAGAATTTCCCTTCAGTCCACTGAAAAACTTTGATGAAAACAGAATTAAGCATTTTTCCCCAGTTAAACTTTCCCACTAAATACATGTTACCTTCAGAGGTTCGAACAAGTCTCTTTGAATAAGATTTATTAACCTTTTTAGTTTTTAGTTGGACTTTGGCCCTTCTGACTTTTTCCCCTGTATACCCTCATGACATCCTAGCAGTCCTCCTGAATACCAAAACAAAAGACACTCAGAAATCCCAGCAGAAATTCTAGCAATTTCTATGATTCCTTTAATAGTGAACTGAAGTCTAAAGGGAATAGTTTCTAAATTTTTTAACCTCATTCCATCAGATTCTGCTCAGTATCCTTCTTTTATTAAAGGGGAGGGACTAGAAGCTCTTTCATGATTGTGAAATTAAGGCCCCAGTTGTACAGCCATTGAAACTTCTGCTACCCTGTATCACTGTGATACAGTCCTTACTTAGTGATGTTAACCTTATTCTTAGTTTTATTCTTGTAATATATATAGGATCAGGTCTTGTAAAAGCCTGTTTGCTGTGATGGGTACTTTCAGTGTTTCTTTGGGCTGAAGCTTTCTGTATAAAAGGAGAACAAACGAGCTGCTTGTGGAATATGAGTGCTTGAAGTTGAGGGCAATCAAAGCACTTATATGGCTGTGCAACAGAAAAGTGACCAGATTCATTGCATATTGAACAACCTCTCAAAAAAGAAGCATGGTGGTGTGCTAAAAATTGTACCATTTTTAAGCTCTCTATGAAAACTCTGAAGGTTTTTTTGTCTGCTAGAATACAGACATATAATTTCAGTTTTATAAAATACCTTCTTGAAAATATGAAAGCTACTAAGACAAGTGTATTCATGAATTTCTTTCTCTCTTTACTTGCAAAAATGTAAGGTACCAGGCACCACAAGGTAGAAGACAATATTAAATTTAATCAGGTAAATAATCTCTTGAGTTAGATTTAGTTTTGTATGGTTTCTCTGTTGCTTGTAACTATTCCATTAAACAAAATAAAGGTAATGTGTAACTTTCTACAGAAGAAATTTTTGAACATTTTACTCCTTGAATTTGAAATCAAATTTTTTTCAATACAAAAACCTGCAGTCACTGGAATTATTTTTTATGGGGCCAAGTTAGAATTAAAATAAATTTCTCATTATCTCACTTTAGTGGAATTACTTCTTCTTGATATGAATACACAAATCCAATAACAATCAGATTTATAGCTTTGAGACATAGCTGAGTGCTTGCTGCACGTGCTTACATATTTGTCTCCGTCTCTTACCTAGTTCTGTCTTGTGGAGAGACTAAAGAAAGGAAAACCCAATACTGGAAAGACAGGGTGGATGCTCTGGCTTTAATCCAGCTGAATGAACCCTTTAAGCATCCACTTCATAGGAAGCATTTATGTAGTTCCAGTGGTGTTTGGAAATGTAAAACTGTGAGGCTTGATTCTGTCTCTAGCCCAAATCATTGGGAAAATTCCTATGGCAGAGAGCTGGAAACTTATTAATGTGTTAAGCAAATATTATTGAATGTTATGTAAGCGCCAGATACGATTCTTCTTGTTGCTCAGCAAGACAAAGCAATAGTTGCTGTCTGCATCTTACAGAGAACTTGCTCAGGGGGGATCAAAGCTACTCAAAAGTTTAATGTTCAACAGAAGCTAGGTCTAAGAAAAGAAAACACTCAGAATATTAAGCAAGCCAATGGCAGTTTGCCTTTCAATATAGGGAATAAACTACAGAACTTAGACCTCCAAACTAGAAAGGAGAATTAGAGTCATAAAGAACAAGTAGTAGTAAATAAGTAAGCAATATAAATTAGTATATGTTAGCTTTTAAAGTATGTTTTTCCTTATGCCCTTGGAAACAATTCCTAAATTCAAGCCACATGAAAGAAAATAAAGAACACTTTGTTTTGTCAGATACCCACAATCATAATGGCACAATGTTAATGTTAAAAAATTAAGTAAATAAATGCAAATTTTAATCAAATAATTAAAACAGCTCTTACAAGCTCTTAACAAACAGAACAGCCAGGCTTTTAGGTCTTAAAAACAAAGTCATTTTGTGTTCATGTGAAACTATTTAGAAAACGAATCAAACTACTTGCTACCTCTGCCCTTTCTTAAGCAGTGCCTGGGCACCAGTGTTCTCATGAAAATGTTTAATCTTTTACTTGTGCTGATGAACTCTTGTACTGCAACAGCAATTCCTTAAGGTTAATTTGATCCAAATACAATGTCCATTCGGGCCAATAGGGATACACTTAGAGATGTCAGTGGGCAATGTGTCAGGCAGTTTTATAAATGCTGACTTAAACGTACATGGAGGCTTTTAATAAAGAACCTCTCACCCATATGAGATATGTGCATGTATGAAGTCAGATCCTCAAGATCCATATGCATTATCTTAATAGGGTAAATTGGTCTTTTTATCACAAAAGCTAAGGTTTACAGGAGAACTTAATACTCAGAACATCCACACCTATCCACAAGCAGTAACTATGGCCAGTGCTCTTAGTTGGCTTTTCATTGTTAAGGCAGATAGGAACATCTCAGAATAAAATTGTTCTAATTTGGTAATCTGCACAGATACCAAAGAAAGCTCTGACAATCCAAGTGTAAGCTAGCATATGTATTATTTTTCCCAAAGAGAAAAATCTCTTCAAGCAAAAAAGAGAGAACGCAAGTGCTTCCCCACACTTTTTTTGAGGAAAGTTGTCAGATGACATCCTTCTCCATGTATAGTTTCCCCTTCAGCTGTGCTTTTTTGCTGTGAGCCCAATCATTGCAACACTGAGTGTACCTACAGGAAAGGGTGCAGAATTCTGCCTCACAACTGAGCAGCAATAACCCTGACCCATATAATGCTATTTTTATGCTAATAAGGAATACAATTATAGCACAGACAAAGAGTGAGCAAGGAAAACACTTGCTTAAGCTTGGTGAAATATGAATGTTAATTTTTTGGCTTCTCGAGCACAGGTAGGTCTCATCTGAAAGGACTTGGAACAGAGTAGGTGTATGACAATCATTAGTAAAGTAGATACAGTCTAGTCTTAGATATTCCTACAACTGTGCTCCTGTGGAATTGAATGGACGAATTTATATGCCCAAGATTTTAAATATGAGACTGATAGGTTAGGAAAATTACTGATTTTTCTATTGAACTGTGCTTAAAAAAGCAAAGGAAAGTTGTGGTCATTTGATATACTTCAGTTGCCATGATGAAAAACAGGTCATAATAAATATAAACAGGGAAGAGCCATTAGAAGGAAGAAAAAGTATGACTGATAAGTATGATTCATTTACTTTAGGAAAACAAAGCAGTAGAAACGTTTATGCAGAAAATATTCTCACCTGCCAAGGATGAGATATTAATGATTACTCCTCCATTGCCTCCATTTCCTTTTCTCATGTATTCTAGGCCAAGGTAGGTTCCTCTAATCACAGATGTCTGGTATAAGGGGAAGGAATTATCAAAGACATTCAAAGATTATTTGAAGCTATTAAAATATCTTACTGAATTATTGATGTTATTTGAAGTATCTTTCTACTGTGCTCCTACAAACTGAAACTTGCTTTTGTTGTGGTGCTTAGAACCTATATTGCTTTACCAGTGATCCTATTTATACCTTGAAGATTATAAACACAAAAGACACTTCACAGCATTGCAACTCCATAACTTCAGAAGCGGTACTACAATAAATAGAAGTAATCATAGTTTACTTATTTTTCTTAAGCAGATATCATTAATCAAACTAAAATATTGCAAAGTGAAATAAGAGCCATGAAAGAAATTAATTAAGTAAATTATAGATGAAACCCACACCTTATCTAAAAATGTAAGTGGCAGAAGAACTGATCTAAATCCCATCATTTTTATCAAGGCACACTGTTATATGTAATAAAAAACTCTCCAGGCTGTATCTGAAAATAACATTAACACTTAAAACTGCATTTGGAAGTCACAAGAAATTCACACTTTTTAGGATTAAGAATATATTTCTGATCCCAGGATGTTAAAAATTTGTATTATTTTCTGACTAAAGCTATGGGACCTTTACTAGTCCTCTCAAATGAAAATTAGCCCAGACAGGCTAATATAGATAAGGCAAAAACAAACATTCTAAGACATGTGAAATGTTATTAGCTTAATATTAGTTGCAGCACGTGATTTTTTTTTATTTTTTAATTTTTTTTTTTTTTTTAATAGGAAAGTACTTTGAGGAAAAAGAAAATTTCTGAAACCCATATAATCCTGATTCCTTAAAACCTGGTTTTGATCCCTACTGCAGTTAGAAATTCTGCTGGGATTCCTCTAACTGAACTTCAGCATTTAAACTGAGATGTCCAAATATATAACAAGCCTGGGGTTATCAGCCTCTTGGATGAATCATGAGAGAGAGTTTCTCCCAGAGAGTGAGTCACTTTACCCGAGATTTAAACAAACAGTAAGAGAAAGGCAGCAGACAGGGCTCCTGGTGGAAGATAGTAACTTCTGTGAAAAGTTACAGTGTTACTGCATAAAAAAGCTTTTTTTTGTTTCTCTCCTGGAAAGTTTTGTTTCAGCTAACACATTTTTTAAATATATTTTGATTATTATCAAAAGGATGCTATTGATTAAATGCTTTAACAGAAACTTTCTGTTTTTCAAAATTCTCTTCAGTGTTGTTCAGCCTTGAAATATACCAAACTTAATCTGATTTCTCTTGCATGTCCTGGAAAGTAGCAGAGCCACCTATAAAGGTTATCTAGTACTGTTTAATGTTAATGGTCATGTATAAATTTGATTTATTAAACCCAAGATTGTTAATACCTAATAGTGTTGCTGTAAGGTATACTTATTCTAATCATAAACTTACTGGCAACTCAGTTGAAATTAGATTTGGACTTAAGGGTCGGTGATATTTTTTAGTACGTATATATGATAGGCTGTACAGAAGATATTTAGAAAGAAACAGATTGTTAAAAAGATATTGTAGAAAGAAAGGGGTTAATGCTGTCTATGGAGAGCAGGTGCAGGTCCTGTCATGCCCTGGAGCAGTGGCTCAGCCTGCTGAGCAGAAAAAGAGAATTCCACTTAGGATGATTAGAACATAAATCAGTTGAAGAAGGAAGCAGCTTGGGGTTCCTTAAGGATTTTTCTATTCCTTCAGCCTTCTAATTCAAAGAGGTAATAGAGCTAGATGAGCCCTTGTCCAAAGCACAATTATAAAACAAGAAAAAAAGTGGGTTGTCTGACTCTGCTATGAAAATTATTGTATTGTTCTTTTTTTCTCTCTAGAATCCATTAACTTAGTGTTTCTTCAAGTGACTGGGAACGTGTTCTCCTTTACATAAGGGTATTGTGAGAGGTGGTCTTCAGAATAAAGGCAGACTTCCATTTTAAAATTGCCCCTTACACCTGCTATATCCTTGTAATCCTTACTTGTAATCGTTGCAAACACCTCATTGAATGTGGCTGATTTGGGGTGAAATGGCTATTTATGATGTTTGGGCTGATAAAGTAAAGAATTAATATATTCTTCAGATAGCTTAACTCTGAACCCCACATCTAGGGTTAGAAGGACCTATCTGTCTGCACACTCAGCAGACGGCACTTCAGATGAAAAGTATTGAGTGATTTCCTATTCTCTTGCCAGAACCCACCTCTCTCCAAGAGAGGAAATTCTCTCAATAATTCCCCAAGGAAGACAGAGGTGGCAGAACTTACTATAGTACGGAAGTCACACAATGTGTGCTTAGCAATCTTAGTGACTCTTTCCATTTGAGCCTGTTGATTCAGCTGAGTTCATGAAGGGAAGCTGGCTCCTCACATATGGGTATCAAACACTCAAATGGGAAAGAGGTTTCCCAAAGAAAAACAGTATTTACATTACTGCTTTCCAAAGAACAATAGCATATTTGATTTTGGTTTTGTTATGAAATATGTCTTTGCAAGTGCACAAATTGCAGCCTCAGGCCGCCTCTCATATGTGACTTTGGATTCCTAATTGTTGACGTCAGAACACTTAGTCTGCACTCTAGAAGAAAAATCATCATCTACTACTTCCTTATACCATGAAATGCACAGTGAAAAGTGAGATGGACAAAGAATTATGTGTTTTCTGCACATTTTCTGGTTTTGGGATATGATTAAAAGTGTCTGTAATGTCCTTTCCATAAACTGAAGGTCTCTTCAGATTGTGTAGTTCTCTAATTGAACTTTTTAAATAATTTAATTCTGTGCTCTTAACCAACAATAATTCATAGCTTGTCTGCTGCAAATAGAAATTCTGGGAAAGTTAAATTTAAAATTACCTAATTAAAAAAAAACTGTCTGACTCGGTTTAAGATAAAAATATGCTGTGAGACTTTGTACAGGAAAACAATTTAGAGCTGAAATTTTTACAGGTCCTTTGTTTAAAACTGCATTTAGCTGAATGGATGTTGTTCATAAACATGTCAAGAACAAAGAGTATGCAAGTAGACAGATTTGTAATTAAGTGTAGGTTAATCAAAATTTGGGACAGCTGACACTCGCCCAGTTTTTTTGACCCTAGCTATGGAAAACCAGTATCATTAAAATCAGAAAATGATCTAAATTACTGTCCTTCTAGCTGTTGAAACCCTTTTGATTTAGTATTGCTGTTTATTTTCTTACCAATATACAGTGGTTTACTATAGCACATAATGAAGATGGGCCATCAAGGTGCTCTGGAAGTCTGAGTGTGCTCCCAAGAGAGGCAATTTTACTCTTCAAATGCCAGTGGAAAATTTAGGATTCTTTCCAATACAGTTATAATGGGAGTGTGGATGTATCTTCTAGCATTAGTTTTCATAAATTGCAGATTTAGATTAGAAGAAATCAGACCTACTATAAAGTAATAAACCCAAAGCGGTATCTGACAGCATGGTAAACATTGTAAAATAATTGTGCAAGTACTCTGAGCATTTGCAGTTGCTTTTGAGAGTATCACATCAATAATCAATAACTCATTTAATGATTTCTTAAATGGCAATTTAGGTATCAGTGCCAAAATCAGAAATAAACTTACAAAATCCTTGATTCTTGACATTTCTATGTATCCCATGGCTATATAGGTTTAATTGTATAATTTTAAAGGAATGGCCAGTCTCTTCGCGAACGAAGAACCGGGGAAGGTCTTTCCACCTTCCAGCCTGCGCATTGGATTTTTTAGGTGAGACACAGTGTGCGCGGAACTGAGCCCACCCTTTAATCCTGAGGTTCATCTGCCGGGGCCAAGCACGCTTGGACGGTGGCAGCGAGGTCCTCAGGAAGTAGATGGATTGCCTTATGGGCTAACGAGCTCCATCTGCCCGGGGAGGGGCCCCGACCGGGAATCGAACCCGGGCCTCTGCAGTGACAGTGCAGTGTGTTTTCCTCTACACCACCGGGGGCTCCCAATTTTAAAGGAAATCATATATTGAAACTCTGATTCTAACTAGACTCCAAGTCTTCAATAGAGCACTAATTCATTTTTTTTCTGCTTTTTGAAACCAATGCCAGCCAATGTGGACAAGTTCTTACATTCCAACATTATACCTCTATCTCAGTTTTCATACTTTGTGTTCCATTTTAGCTTTATCTATTTAAAAAAAAAAAAAGTTCTTCCATGATAGTGCCCAGAACATCATTACTCATCATCTTTTGCAAGTGACAATTTCTTTGAAGTTAACTTAGTATACAGTGCTTTCTTCTAGTGTTTCAAGGCAGGTGTTCCAACTGAAATAGATCCTCATACCTATTTAATGAGGTTTCCCTTCCACCTCTGTCTGATACTTCTACTGTCTCCTTATACATGCTAGTATTTCATGCTGAGAAAATATATTAGCACCTTCAGTGTTGAATATAAGTACTATATTGCTATTAAGGTAGTACAGCAATATGAATTCCTTTGAGAAAAAAAGGGTAATCAGTCCTAATATTTTATGTTGGTTCCTGAGCTAACATAGTTCAGTGCTAGGGATAATAAGTAAAAATGAAAGAGCTCTGGACTTGTGGTTTCATAAAGCAGGTTAGCACAGAGCTGGAATTTGACCCAAGATCATTTGCCTTTCATACTGTGATGTTGTAAATTGATGACTATCTATAAGGAAGCATTTAAAGTACCTTGTGAACTGCGTAAGATGAAGTTCAAAAGTCTGAAACTAAGTGCTGCTAGTGGTACCCATGGAAAATTTTGGCATTTTGCTGTTGGACAGGAAGGTGGGGCTGATTTTTTTTTTAATGTATATTTTCTAGAAAGTAGACAAGTTGTAGCAAGCATGCAAGTCCCTTGGCATTGCTATGTAGAGGTTAATTTAATTGCTATGAAATGAAATCGGAGGTGCTTGAGTTTGAATTTCCAACTCAAACTGTGGAAAAAAAAAAGTCTAGGAAAGAAGAGGTAGAAAGGAGAAAGGAATGTGCAGTAGGATTTGTTCATTTGCTACAAGTCAATAGCTTTTTTT